GAAAGGCAGTAGTGAAAAAGTAATACTTTTTTGGGGTGATTCAAAGATGGAAAACTATGTGTTTCACTTTTAACAGCACGAAGCCAAAGTTATAGAAGGAAACATACACCGAAAACGTCATCTATTAAGAAGTATTAGATATGATTCTACTACACTGAATATTTATATACTATAAATACGATACTTTCTAACTTGACTAAATTGATCATCTTTGTAGGTTAAGAGTTAAGACGATATCATTTTGAATTCAGGTATTTCGTTAATGTAATAACATTAACTTTTAGCATTTAAATGATTGTTGTATTTTTATAACGTTAATTACTTTATAATGATCATTTCATCTTGTAAATAATTTGTTACTAAATTTAGTTAGTTGTTCTTTCACATAAAAATTCCGACTAAAGATTTACGTGCAACGCACGTACATAGTAACTAGTTATTATAAAAGCACGAATAATTTATGCTAAATATTGAACGACTAAAATATCCTTGAAATATTGATCGACTTTTATGACCTTAAATATTTATATAATTTAAGGATATAATTGTAAATCATCTAAGACTGGAATTCTTTTCCCATTTAATCTAAACATGCATTGACCCTACAAAATTGATTTTAGGTAAAATTCTTTTGAGACTCTATTGTTTTGGACTATTCCTTTTAATTGGACCTTGAATTTTGGCATATACTGATTGGTATCATAACGTATGAAGTATTGATCTTTTTTCTTCTTCTTTGTTACTGACCTTTTCTCAAGCAGTTTATATTTGATAAAATTTTATTATCTAAAAATATCTCTGAATAATTAGTTAACTTTTATGACCTTAAATATTTATATAATTTAAGAACACAGTTGTAAATCATTTAAGTTTAGAATTCTTTTTTGATTTAAACTACACATACGCCAATCTTACTGAGTTGATTTTGGTATCACATCGTACAAAGTAGTGATCTTTTTCGTTGTCATTGACTTATTTCATATTTCTCCAGTAATTTGTGTTCGATATAATTTTATTGTCTAAAATAAAAAAAAATAATCATGGTTTATCAAGATAAAGAAATTTATAAAATTAATTAAAAGAATTCAATGAAATGCTTTTCGCTTTCATGGGAAGAGAAGACATTATATTGAGGGGTATCTTGTAGAACAAATTTTAATGTTCTTTTTTTAATCTTATCATTAATAGAGATTTAAGCATAATAATAGAAAATAAACCAAATCAAGTTTCAGCCTTTTGAATTTACAATACACATGTCGATAATCCAAACATGTATTAACAACTACAGGATCAAGTTGTAATAGAGCGAAGTCGCTTGATTAGATAGAAGATCGAAAGTTTATTACTTTTAACACAAGATATTTCGTGCATTGCATCAACGTCGATGGACCAAAATAGGCCTAAAATATTGATCGATTTTTTTTATTTGACATGGGATAGAATTGTAATATTTAAGAATGTTATTTGACTAGAATCCTAAAACTCTATGGTGCGTGTCTAAAGTTGCTGATTAAGAATGTTTTACTCCTTTTTTAATTAAATTCAAACTACGATTATGAACTCTATATGGCATTCCCTATTGCACTTGAATTAGAGCATAAAAATATGAACTACGAATATGAACTCTAATTTCGTCTTCCACTTAAACTCTAAAATATTTCATATATCGGTACCAGTATTTAAGTTAAAATAATTCTTTTAGTCAATGGGATTTAGACTAAAAGGTCAACTGTAAACTCTTTCATGAATATCCGTGTCAAAGTGTGGTGATGCAAGAGGAGTTAACAAAATTCAGTAAACTTCTCAAAGTTATTGTATTTTTCTTTGAAATCGAAGCAAGCCTGAAAACATGTGCTTTTTTACTCTTTCTTCATCATCTTTTTGTGTATGCAATTGACAGCTTGCAATTTTACTTTGTTGTCGAATTTTAGTTCATTTATTTGCAAAAATATTATCAATGTGGTTATCAAATCTTTTATCATACATGAATACAATGTTGATAGATCAAAATAGTCTTAAAACCCTTCAAATTAAAAGTTAAATTTTATCTTCAAAAGATAATTGCCCATAGGTTAGAATTGTAACATTAATTCCTAATATGAATTTGTATGGAATTCTAATACTAATCAATGTGTCCAACTCATTATTGAAATTATAACGCGTTATACCAATGGTACATAGATAAGAACATTTGGAGCTATCTTTTACCATTATATATACAAAGGTTACCGCGGTGCCTATATGCGCAGATATTTCACAAAAAAACGTAAGCCTCATTTAGATCTCGCGGTCGCCAAGGTGAGTTCCAAGCCAACAGGTTGTTTGCATAATAAACATCATTTTTGTTTTGTCTACCTATTATTATATTTACATGATAGTTGGCTATGTGCATGTCCAAAACTTCTCTTCTTTGCTTCCTTTACAGCTTGTTTGGATGGTTGTTACCTATCGTATCGTATCGTATTGTTATTTTAAATACAATATTTGTTTTGATTGTTACTTAAATTTTATTGTATCGTATCGTTAAATCCGTCGTTACGTAACGATGAAATGTGCCACATTATGTAACGACCGATTTGGTGTGGTCGCGTCGTTTCCTTGTGTTTTTCTCTCAATCTCTGTATTGGGTGATACCCTTTTTTGCTTGAGCCCGACCGGGTTGGGTCCGGTCCGGGGCAAGTCGGGGCCATCGAACCCGACCTGGATGCAAGGTAGAACGACGGCCACGTCTACAACCGAGGTCGAGTCATTTCGAGACCGTTGCAGAGCTCGATATGAGTCACCACCGGATGGAGAAGCACACAAGGTCGGAAGCCGGACTCGTAACGGATAACCAAGCGTCGCCGGATATCTCGCCCAAACGTGATTTTCTCAACCACTTCAGGCCATTAAGGCGTAATTACAGGGATCCACGATGTAATTAATTTACCTACCTTATTTTTACCCTTAATCAGAATGTATAAAAGGGGAGAAGACCCCATAAAGAGGGGATCGGAAACCATTACACTACAGTACCATCTCTCTCAATTCTTGTACGCTATCAAGCACAATTGTTCTAAGCAATATTATACTCTGCGATTATTTACTTTAACAGCAATTGTTGAGTCTTTATCTTTTATTTTCCTCAATCCAAACCTTTAGTATCTTTTAGTTCACGGATCCTTAAAACCCCATATAAATTCAATTGTTATCCGGATTCCAGGGTAAACAGTTTGGCGCCCACCGTGGGGCTAAGGATATTAGTGAGCTCTTTGATACTCTTTCTTGACACATCACAATACACTGGTTCTTTGCAAAAGAGTCCATCTTACATTCAAATTACCAACTCATAGAATGGCACAATCAATCAACAACGAACTTGAACAGCAGACAGGAAACAATGGAATGCCCGGGCTCGAAAACCCGATAGATGCCGATTCCCGGATGGCGNATCTTGTAAATAATTTGTTACTAAATTTAGTTAGTTGTTCTTTCACATAAAAGTTCCGACTAAAGATTTACGTGCAACGCACGTACATAGTAACTAGTTATATTTAAAGCACGAAGGCTCTTAACGAAATGTCGTTCTCATCAATCGGAAATCAAGACAAAGCGGGCACTACGGTAAGACGTGAAAACACCCGATCCCATTCCGACCTCGATATGTGGAATCGCCTTTTTTACCCTTTAAAAATAGAGTTCACACTAGATAAAATAGTCATTTAATTATTTTTTAATATTTAGGACCTAAAGGTTTATTGAAATTTGGTTATTAAATATTTCCTTATTTAAATTAGGTGTATCTAAAATTTAGAACTTTAAAATCAATTAATATTTTACCTTAAATAAACATTTAAAAGTTAATTATTTAGAACCTTGGTACGAAATTTGTAAACGTTCCTTGGAAGTAGTTTCTATTGTTGGGATATACTATTAACCATGCGGTTTAGACATAGTATTTTATTTTATTCTTTATGGAATAATTATTTATTTAATTTATTCAATTCAATAAAGTACTATTTTAAATAGATCATTTGTTACATGTAGTAGACAATTTAGTGTATGTAGTCTTAGCTCATGCACAGAAGAATAAATTGTCGGTTCTCAAAATTAATAAACTATGTTCACAATCAATGATATTACTGGACAAAATATCTTGATGATTCTAGCACAAGATTATAGTATAATTTGTCTTGATTATGGGAGTGGTTTTACTCCGACTTCTTGTGCTAGTTTATATATAAATTTCTAATGAGGATTAAATGACTCCTAGTGATAGCAAACGTGAAGTAGACATACCAGCATGATCCCATTTAATTAGGCCATCTCTACAAGAGGTTATTTCTACGGCTTGAATTCATGACCTCTTGGTCACATGACAACAACTTTACCATGCCAAGGCTCCCCTTAAAAAAAAAAAGTACTAGTATATATATGTACAAATAGTTTTACTGATGTAATGGGATCAACTCATGGAGTAGAAATCGAAAAAATATCATGGAGTTGTCTGAGAGCATATTATGATAACAAAATTGCAAGAGAAGAATCCTCCTCAGTTATTCCTCTTACATTCCAAAAGAGGCAAAGACTCATTCTCAGGTCCATATCAAACACAGAGACAAGAAAAAGTATTATATCAAGCAAATCATCAAATAATGTTCATTTTTTGACACTTCGCATGCTAATTGGCGCCTAAACCTTTCACCAAATAAACAATATATTAAATCATACATGCAAACTATTTAGACAAGAAGTAGGGAATCAAAGTCTACTCTAATGCTACAAACGGAATGCAATCATCAACGGTGGATCCAGCTTAGTACGTGTGGGTTCCCGTGAACCCAGTAGCTTTTGCACATATATTATATATATATAAAAATCTACTAAAAATCCGTAAATATTCAATTGTGAACTCAGTTACATATTTATTTATTAGATGGAATCCATAAACTTCAAATCTTAGATGGAGCTCTGAATGCAATGCTCCTAGAGTAAGAAAGGATTCTTCAACCATATTGGTGTCACAAAGCAGAAACTGAACCAAAGGTCAACGGAGCTGCACAAAGACTGTCTGCAATGTGATTCATAAGCTTGCCATTGACAGCTGAAATGACTCGAGAATAGCAACCAGCTTCACCCTTATAAGAATAACTCTGTTCAGTGGTTGCTCCGTCGTATAAAACATTGTGATCTTGAACAACCATCCACGCGCTGCACTGCTGCCTATTGGTCAAAGAGATTGAAGAATATCCTTTCGATTTCTTCTTCTCCTTCCATTTATGGTCCAAATTAGAAAGCATCAACCTCGTACCATCCTCTCGTGATGGCAAAGTTTTCGTGGTTATAGTAAGCGGGTATTTCCTCTTCACTTTGGTCTTAGATATCGTGCTACCACTCTCTGACAATACTCTAACTTCAATCTCTTCTTTTACCTTTTGCTTAATCTTCTTCTCAGTTCCGTTCTGATAAACTTTTATTTTGTTCTTGAACTTCAGTTCTCGCGAAACTTTAGTAGTCAAACTGCCTTGTGTTGTCTTCACCCAAGAAGAAAACTTGCTCTTCCTCTTCATCTTAACCTCAAATGATCCATCGAGTCCTACAAAGCTCGAAGATCGCTCAATCTTGAACTTAGGAGTACCCGAATCAAGAGCTTTAGCCAGCACTTGACATGGCAATGCGCAATTGTTGTCCAACCAAAGGTGCAAGTTGGCATCCACAAGCCAAAAGGGAATACTATCCGCAACCCCAAGCCCTAGAAAATGGGCTTGGCCATCAAGTAAAACCCCCAAAAATGGTGTTAAGTCAATGTCGTAAGAAGGAAGATCAAATGCCCCTATTGAAACAATTGGATCCCAATACAGAGGATTAATTCCACCTGTGAAAATCACAGGGAATGGAACCACGGATCCTACCAAATTCTCATCTATATTCAGTAAAACTTCCCTATACGCTCCGTTGCCTCTCCTAGTAGTCAAACTGTTATTCTGTATGTACGAATCTGGAGGATTTGAGTACCAAAACTCATCATACGCGTGAGATGAAACGTAAATTTCAATCACAGCTTTGTATGTGTTACTCGGAATAATAACTCTCTGTCCATGCAACTCCGATTCGTTTAGAATTCGGAACCAAAATCCTTCACTCCCATTTCCTGATATTATTGGAATTATCAAATCAGCTGGCTTCTCTTTGTCTTTGTCATACTCACTTGTCAAATTGTTCACTCCCGTTATTATCGGATTATCCACAAACACATCATTTTCCAGCTTCAATTTCCGATTAGTACTACTACTACTACTTGATAATGGAACATTCATGTTCTTAGCATCATAGTACAGGAAACTAATATTGACATGATATACACCTGTATAAATGTCGTTGATCACATTTTCAAGCATGGCAGTGAGAGAAATATTCTCCTTGACGAGGATGGAGGAGTACCTGGTAACGTCTTTAGTAACAGTCCAGAAACCGCCGTTTCCAGTAGATTGCGGGGTGCTGGTACGGAGTAGCTCGGCTCCATCAAGCCAAACGGCGGCGATACGGTTGTATTGGAAACCACTGGCAGAAGCATTGAACTGAAGAGCCACGTGGGTCCAAGAGCAATTGGCTGGCGGAGAGTAAGCGACGGAGATCGGCGGGAGACCCATTGTATTGCCGAAGTCATGGGTGAGGATGTGAAAAGTGCAGGAAGGAGTGAGGTCAGTGAATGGTAATGGACGAGTTATTTCCAAGTATTGCTGTGAAGAAGTGTTATTCTGGCGAAGACCGCGTTTGGTTAAGTGGGAATTGTGTTCAGGTAAGGAAAAGGAAAATGGGGCGATAAAGCTGAAAAAGAAGAAGAACAAGATGAGAATAGCCATGAGAGAGGAAAATGAAGTACTCCTTCTTTAATGTAGAATCTTTGAGGATTTAGAGAAAACATGACAAATCTTGAGAATACATGGAGTTAAGAGGAGTGAGGACACCTGGTTTGGTAGGTGGGATATTTAATAAAGCTGGGATCCGATATTATGTTTTGATTAATCTTAGGAGAACGACTTTTGCGTATGAAAATTGGAGATCACAATTTTTATCACTCCATGTCGACTTTACAGAACAAAAATTGAACGTATAGACAGAGTTTTAAAAATTACTATAGTAAACAATTATGAAAAGGCGGTGACAGAAAGCGCGCAACTATTAAAAGTCAAATAATAATTGTGTTTACTAGAACCATAAGGTGACAAATGGCAGATTGAAAAAGAAGGTCATGTTTCCCAAAATATTGATGTTTTTAAATTTTCTCACTTTTCCAGAGTTTCTTCTCTTTTTCTTTGCAAAGTTTTCGAATATAATGACGTTGATTTATTTTGATCCATCGTTGTTGCCTTTTGGGTTACGATAGTCATGGGGCAGGGGTTTCTACTCAAACGCATTGAGTGAATGCCTTTTGTGTGGGTGTGGAGTGGCCATGGGACGAGGGGGTTTTGTTCGATCTCGTCAAACATACCTCTTCTTTGGTTAGACGTGGCCGAGGGGTTTTTGTTCGATCTGGTCAAACATACCTCTTCTTTGGTTAGACGTGGCCAGGGCCCGAGGGGTTTTTGTTCGATCTGGTCAAACATACCTCTTCTTTGGTTAGACGTGGCCAGGGGCCGAAGGGTTTTGTTCGAGCTGGTCGAGTGTACTTCTTAGTTAAAATGTGGCCAAGGGCCAATGGGTGTTGTTCGAGCTGATCGAACGTATCTCTAAGTTGAGATGTGGCCAGGTGCCGAGGAGTTTTGTTTGAGCTGATCGAATGTATCTCTAAGTTGAGATGTGGCTAGGGGCCGAGGAGTTTTGTTTGAGCTAATCATTTCTCTTAACTGAAATGTGGCCAAGGGCAGAGATGCTTCGTTCGAGCTGGTTGAACGTATCTCTAAGTTGAGAGACTTAGGAGAGTAGTTTCAATAAACAGGTATCTCATTTATTTCAACATCATTGTATCGATTACATCATTTCGCTCTAAGGCATTTTGGAGAAAATTACTAGTTTTGGGTGCTGGCTGGCATTCTAGTCCCAGTTCCAGTCCCAATATATCTTGTCTCTCCATTGTCCGACTCGGAGATTCTTGAGGAGTCGGGCAATGAAATATGGCTGTTCTCGCGTACTCCACCTCGAAATGTCCCGTCCGTTGCCTCATTAAAAACCTCCTTGAGAAAATCTTGTTTGGATAAAACTCAAGTGAGGGAAAAAGAGTACAACTTACGGGGCATTCCTTGTTTTTCAGAAGTTAAAGTACTTGAGGTGGCTAATGTTCCAATTGTTCGGTAAGAGCTTTCCTTCCAATGTCTCTAGTTGGAACGAACCCTTGTCTGCCTTGCCTATTATTTTGTACGGTCCATCCCAATTGGCTCCTAATTTTCCTTCTCAGGGATCTCTTCCTGCTTGGGTTTTGGCTTTGAGCATGTAGTTTCCGATCTTAAGTAACTATACCTTGGCCTTTCTATTATAGTAACATTCAGTTTGCTGTTTCTGTGTGACCATTCTTATATACGCTATGTCTTTTTGCTCCTCGACTTCATCGAGGTCCTATCTTATGTTTTCGTCATTGTCGTTGCTGCTCTCATTGGTGTAACTTAGTCTAGGTTCTCCTAATTATGACTGCTTCAGTTCCGTAGACTAAGGAGTAAGGTATTTCTCATGTGCTTATTTTTTGGGGTCGTCCTATGTGCCCATAACAATCCTGGGTGTGTTTCCGACGACAACCCCTTAGCATCTGCGAGTCTCTTCTTCATGATGTTCAAGATTGACTTGCTAGAGGATTCTGCTTACCCGTTGCCAGCTGGGTGGTAAGGGGTTGAGAGTATCTTTTTGATGTGCCACTTCTCAAAAAATTCAATGGTTTTTCTTCCCGTGAACTGGGGTCCGTTGTCGCAGTTTATATCTTTAGGTAGGCCGAATCGACAGATGATGTTCTTTTATATGAAGGTGATTACTTCCTGTCCGCGAATTTGGGCGAATGCGCCTGCTTTCACCCATTTAGAAAAGTAGTCAATCAAGAGTAAAAGGAATTTAACATTACCTTGCCCGGGCACAAACGATCCCACGATATCCATGCCCCATTTGATGAACGGCCACGGTGAAGTGGTAGAATGTAGGTATTCTCCCGCTTGGTGGATTATTGGGGCGTACTTCTGGCATTGTTCACAGTTCTTTACGAACTCTAGAGTGTCTTTCTTCATGGTGGGACAATACAATCCTGCTTATATGAGGCATCTGACGAATGCTCGGTCACCAGAGTGACTGCCACAGTGGCCTTCGTAGACTTCCTCGAGGACGCGCTGAGTTTGATACAGGCCCAAGCACTTTGCCAAGGGGCCCCCGTACGTCCTTTTGTACAATTTGTTATTGAGGAGGCTATATCTCGCCGCTTGCATTCTCAAATTCCTGGCCTCTTTTTATCATTTGGGAGAACACCATCCTACAAGTATTTTATAATGCAATTACGCCAATCCCAGGTTAAGTTAATAGATTTTACCTCGACGTGATCTAAGGCTGAGCTGAGGAGATGTACCACATATTTGTCCCTAGGGGTTATGCTTTTTTATTGCGGCGGCCAGTTTTGCGATGCCGCCCCCTCGGCATTTTGAATTCGTGGAATCTGGTCGACCTGACATTCGTCCAATTTGGGTGACAGTTTGCAGATCTCGGCCTGGTATTTCTATAACCTCTACTCTTTGACCTGGAAAGTCCCAGTGACTTGGTTGACTACGAGTTTAGATTCGTAGCGTAGTTTTAGGCGCTTCGCCCCATACTCGAGTGCTATCCTCAATCTTGCAATTACGGCCTCATACTCGGCCTCATTGTTATTCATATCTGGGCACTTTATAGATTGGTGGATGATTTCGTCGGCTGGGACTATGAGTACGAGTCCGAGTCCAAACCCGCATACATTAGATGCACCATTAGTGTGCAAGACCTAGAGTTCCTGCGCTAGGCTAGAAGCTTACATGGCTTCTTTCTCAGCCTCAGGCATCACCTTGGCGCTAAAGTCTGTGACAAAGTCGGCGAGCACTTGCGACTTTATAGCTTTGCGAAGATGGTAAGTGATGTCATGCTCACTTAACTCTATTGCCGATTTGGCCAGCCTCCCCGACAATTTGGGTTTGTGCTGAGCTTGAGAATAACAAACAACTTCAGGAAGAACTAGGAAAAGTGAAGAGTGATCTTGAAAAATCACTCAAGTGGACCTGGTCCTCTGATGCTATCACTGTCATGTACACCAACAATAGGGGAAACCAGACAGGGAATTGGGTTCCAAAGGGAAAAGACTCTCTACAACCCTCATAGCAAGTACGTTACTGTACCTGATAATTGGCTTTGCACTCACTGTACCAATACTGGGCACTTTAAAGAAAACTTTAAGGCCAGATTTCAGTCACAACACAAAAACAAAGTTTTTGCTGTAAAAGTAACTACTGGTTGAGAACCTGGTCCTTCATATAAAAATTGCATGATGCCTTCTTGGACCAGAAGATCCCTCATTCACCCATTTCCTCATTACAAGGGACCCAAACTCGTTTGGTTTCCTAAGTCTAACTCCTGATTTTCTTGTGCAGGGAACAGTGAAAGGGAGCACCCTACAATGGTACATGGATAGCAGCTGCTCAAAGCATATGACTGAAAGTACAAATGATTTCCTTTCACTTAGGGACCTGCAAGGAGGGAGTATATCCTTTGGAAATGTAAAGAAAGGATACATTCTAGGAGTTGGAAGGATTGGGAAGTTTCTCTCTCACTCAATCGAAAATGTGTACTACGTGAATGGGTTGAAGTACAACTTGCTAAGTGTTTCCCAGATCTGTGACAAGGGAAACAAGGTGGAAGTTGTGTCAAAAATATGTACATTCACAAACCTAGTGACTGGTGAGGTGGTGCTAGTGGAAAAAAAGATACAAAAATATATGTGTTGCTGATTTTGAGTCTCTGCAGAATGGTGATCTCAACTGTCTAAGTGCTGCTGATGATGATGCTGAATTATGGCACAGGAGGCTGGGTCATGCAGGCTTCACGTTGCTGAACAAATTGGTCAGGAAGGACCTGGTTCGTGGTCTGCCCCAAGTCAATCTTCAAGGATCACAAAGTGTGTGATGCGTGTGTAAAAGGGAAGCAAGTTAGATCCTCATTCAAGCCCAAAAAGGAAGTCAGTACCTTAGGGCCACATGATCTTCTTCACATGGATCTATGTGGACCTATGAGGGTGCCAAGTAGAGGAGGAAAGAAATACATCTTCGCTATAGTTGACGACTACTCCAGATTCACCTGGACTTTGTTTCTTAGAACCAATTGCCTTCGTCAAACAGATCCAAGTGAATATGGGTAATAATGTAGCTTGCATCAAGTCCGATCATGGGACAGAGTTCGACAATGCCAAATTTGATGAGTTCTGTACTGAAAATGGTATCACTCACAATTTTTCAGCTCCAAGAACAACATGGTGTTTTGGAGAGAAAGAATAGAACTCTTAAAGACATGGCAAGGACAATGTTGATTGACAGTGGGATTGCAAAGAATTTCTGGGCAGAAGCTGTCAATATTGCTTGCTACTTGGTGAACAAGTGCATGATCAGGTCCCTTCTGAACAAGACTCCATATGAACTGCTGAATGGAAGGAAGCCCAAGCTGA